TTTTAAATATCCAATACACTAATAAAAATAAAAACTTTTAATATTTATTTATAGATAACCCCATAAATACCTTAATTTAATTAATAATAATCCTTATATATACATAATTAATATTCTTAACCAAATCAAAATTAAATTTATTCAAAAAAAACTAGATATCACCCTAATTGACAAAAATATATTCACTAAATAATTATTTATAATAATTCTTTAACATTAACTATCATAACTATATTTAACTCTTAAAATTTCGAGAAAATTCATCATTTTAAATTTATATTTAAATAATCCCTAATACAAAAGGTACAATAACTAATATTTACTTTCTCTAATTATCTGTCTCTATTCTAGACCTTCACTCACATTACCCTCAACTTTAATACATTTATATTATTTAAATTTTTTTAATTAAACAATCTTTGCTTTCCTTTAAATAAAACTTTAATAACTCCACACCAATTATAATCACTCTCAAAAACAAATTATTTATAAAATAATATTTATTTATCCCCAACACTAAAAAATAAAATTTTTTATAAAAATATTTATTAACTAACTAACGTTAATAATAATCTAAATACATATTCCTATACACTTACTTTGTTACGACTTCTTCCACTTTAAAATTTATGAAAATGACGGGCAATTTGTACACATAATAAAATTAATTTCAAAATATAAAATTATATACTTTTACTATTAAATCCTAACCATCTAACTAAATATTTAAAAATTAAACTTAATCTTTACTTTAAATTAATGTAACTCATTTAAATCTTAAAAATACTACATTTTGATTTGAATTTAAATTTTTAATAAAATTTATTAATTATAATTATCAAACTTAATTTTTAAACAACAATATATAAAATTTTTTTAAGTCTTTCCTCTCGTGGACTATCAATTACTCAACAAGTTCCTCTAACTATTTAATATGCCGCCAATTTATTTAAATTTAATGATAAAACATTTAATTTTTAATTATTTAAAATTTACTCTAAAATAATAGGGTATCTAATCCTAATTTCTAACAATAATCTATTTAAAATATAATCAATAAATAAAGTAATTATAAACTATCAAAACTTAAATATTTCACTAAATTAAATTTTATTTATTAATATTCCTTCTTTTATTCCTTTTTCCCATATTTACTAATTAAACTAAATTTAATCAAAATTAAAAAATTAGTCTAACCGCGATTGCTGGCACTAACTTAATCATTCTTATTATAATTAACTATTTATTAATTTTTTAATCTTTAATCAATTTACTTATAACCTTTTAATATTTAATTAAATTATTTAAATTTACTAATCTAATAAAAATTTATTTATATTTATTACTACACACTAAATTTTTAAATAAAAATTAAATTTTTCTTATTATTTTTCATTATATACCTAAAAATTTTATACCTTATAAATTATTTTCTATCATTATAATATAACATATATTTTTATTATTAATTATAATTATATTATATATATCATTAATTATATTATATATATCATTAATTATATTATATATATCATTAATTATATTATATATATCATTAATTATATTATATATATCATTAATTATATATATATTAAAATTTTAAAGAATCAATATTTTTTAATATTATTAATATAATATAATGAAATTTTAATTTTCTTATATAAAATTTTTTATACATTAGATATATTTTTTAATGATGAATTATATTAATGATTTTATAATTAAATTTTTATTATTATAATACATTAGTATAATCTAATTATATTAATGTATTATAATAAAAATTAATATAAAAATCATAAATATACCCCCCTCTTATAAGAAATTATTTTGTTGCCTACAACATTTTAAAATTTATTCTCATCTATAATTGTCCAAAGAATTTTTATTTTTTAAATTTTTAATTATTAACATTATTCTACTCACTGTAAATGAATTATTTTTTATAAACTAAAAATCTCCGTCTATATCTCTCAAACAAATAAGTAAGCTAAATTAAAAAGCTTTTAGATTCATACTCTAAATATAGAATTTATTCTCTTATTTAAATGAAATGCCTGAAAACAAGGTTTATTTTGATAGAATAACTTATGTGAGAAACATCAATTAATCTCACTTTCATTATTATTATTTAGATTTTATATTCAATAGAATTAAACTATCCCCTAAAATTTCAAAAATTTTTGTGCCTCTTACACCTAAATATAATAAAAACTATTAAATATTAATTTTTAAAATTAAATAAAAATATAAATTTATTATAATATTTAACCTATTTATAAAGTATATTACCACCCTAAATCTAATTTTATTTTCTATTACCCCCCTTTTATTTACTGATTTAATCCTTATTTGATTCTTTATAGAAATCTCTAATTATATATATATATGCCTCCTGAATATCTGAATAAAAAATAAAAAAATAATTTTTTTTTATTTTATTCTTCAAGTTCTAGCATCTTTCATAATTATTTATAACATTATTATAAATAATTTTTTTATAATTAATAGTGTATTCTCCAGGTTACTCCTTTTATTAGCCTTAATAATAAAATTAAGGGTCCCTCCCTTCCACCTTTGGCTTCCCTTACTATCTAAATACTTAACTTGACCATTAATTTTTATCTTAATTACCATATTAAAAGTTACCCCCTTTTATATAATTTCTTTAATAAATATACCCCTTATACTTCTTTATATGATTTTAATTTTATGTGCAAGTATCCCCCCCTTTCTTATATTAAATATTAACAATTTAAAAATTTTATTAACTTACTCATCTATCAATCAAACAGGATGAATGCTAATATTAATTTGACTAAAAAATCTATTGTGAATAACTTATTTTTTTTATTACTCCATAATTCTTTTAAGTTTAACATACAGAATTCATAACTTTAAAATTTATATAAACTTTAATAATTTTAATAATATAAATTTTAAAATAATCTTATTAATCCTCATATTTAATCTAGCAAGTATGCCCCCCTTTTCTTTTTTTTTATTAAAATGATATAGAATCTTTTATCTACTCTATAATTCAAATTTCTTTATAATTTTAATTTTATTAATATTCAGCTCTTTAATTATACTTTATATCTATACAAAAATAATAATCAATTCACTATTTTTATTTATACTAACTACTAAAATTAAATCTATCAAATATTATCCCCTTAAAAATATACCCCTTTCAATATTGTTATACTTAAGAATCTTTGCCTCCTCCGCCCTATTCCTAATTTAAGATTTTAAGTTAAAAAAACTTAAACCTTCAAAGTTTACTATATAAATTTATTTTATAAATCTTAAAAATTTAATTAAATATAATTATTACATCATATAATTAATTAATATTTACTACAGATAATATACACTAATAAGTCCCCCTTATATCTTTAAACTTGCAATTTAAAATTTTTCTTAAACTATAATATAATAATTCTAAATTTCAAAAATTATACCCCTAATGTTAGAAAATTAACTTTCTTTAATAAATTTACAATTTACTTCTTTAATCAGACATAACATTTTTTTTCTCTCCCTAAATTCTAATTAACCAATCACTTAATCTTAAACAAACAATATCTATCTAATACTACTTCTTTAAATTCTACATAAAATATGAATAAATGACTATATTCAACTAATCATAAAGATATCGGAATCCTATATTTTATTTTTGCAATCTGAGCAGGAA